AGGCTTATTTTATTTTGGATACTTCTATAACTGGGTTGATTTCTGAGTTATGTAATCATGTGTGTTAATGATCAATTGTTGTCTGCTGTTGTTGGTTCTCTGAAGGACTCTCTTTTGTATCTTTTGTAAGGTTGATCTGGTTTTAACAAATTCTCTTAATTTCTGCTTATCTGGAAATGTCCTAATTTCACCCTCATATTTGAGGGACAGTTTTGCCAGATATATAATTTTTGGTTGGAAACTTTTTTTCTTTCAGGGTTTCATATATATCATCCCACTGCCTTCTTGCCTGCATTGTTTCTGCCAAGAAATTAGAGCTTTTCTTATTGGTTGCCCTTTGTAGGTAACTTTTCATTTTTGCTGTGCTGTTTTCAGGATTCTTTCTTTGTCTTTAGTTTTAGTGAGTTTGATGATTATATGTCTTGGTGATTTTCTTTTGGTGTCTATCCTTTGTGGGGTTCATTGAACTTCTTAAATAGATATATTCTCATCTTTCATCATATTAGGGAAATTCTCTTCCAACAAATCTTGGACAATTTTCTCTCTGGTTTTAACTGTCTCTTCCTGTTCTGGAATACTGATTACATGTAGGTTATTCCTCTTGATGGTATCTCACATGAATCTTAGGTTTGCTTCATTTTGTTTGGAGCTTGTTTTCTTATTCCTCCCTTAAAATATCATCGAGGTATTTATCTTCAGTCTCATTAATTCTGTTTTCCATTGATTTGATTCTACTCCTTTTCCCATTCATTGTGTTATCTATTTCTGAAATCTTAGTTTTAATCTTCTAAATTTCTGTTAGTTATTTTTGTGTCATTTCTAATTTTTTGTATATTTTGTCAATTTCTTCTTGTGTTGTTTTCCTAAATAGCTCTAGAGTTTTGCCTGTGTTTTCCTTAATTTTGTCAGTGTTTTCCTTGGTCCTGTCAGTGTTTTCTTTGATCTGTCTCTCAGTCCATTGATGGCACCCAAATATAATTCTTTTGAATTATTCTTTAGGGAGTTCCAATGCTGCTTCTTCCTTAGGGGTGGTTTCTAGGTTTATATCCTGGTCCCTTGTTTCTACTACTTTATCTTTCTTCTTTGTGTGATGGTCTGTTGTCTCTGAGATATTGTAGTGTTGATGTATTTATGTTTAATTTGTGATTGTATGTTGCTGTGATTCACGTAACATTTTTCCCCTTTAGTTTGTTTTAATATATCTGTGTGAGCAGGGTACTGTTCTCCTCTCTTTTCTAGTTGTTACCATCTAGGCATTCACCACCTGTCTCCTGGTGGTTGTGATAGAAAATAAGAATGTGTGCATTGATCTCTGTTAGCTGTTTGTAAAGAGAAGTTGAGGATTAGTTGAGCTGGTATTGGCCACCATCTATCATTGTTCATGGTGCAAAAGCAAGTGGTGGCCCTCACTTAGTGGGTGGGGCTTCAGGAGGTACAGGTATGGTTGGGTTGTGTGGTAATGGTTGCTCTCTCCCACTCAGGCAAAGAAAAATAAAAAAAAAAAAATCACCAAAATAAAATAAATAAATAAAAAACAGGTGAACAAAAAACTCAAACCACATAAACAAACAGGAACAACAACAACAAAAAGCAATGTATGGGAAGAATAGTTTTCAAAATATATTTTAAAAGGATAAAATAAAATTTAAAAAATTTTAAAAGATAATGAGAAAAAGAGAGAGAGGATATGAGAGAAATGGAGAGGGAGGAATGAGAGAAAAGAGCAAAAGTGAGAGAATAGTAAAGAAAAAACTGGAAAGGTGCAAAAGGAAAAACAAGGAATGGGAAGAACCAAAAGAAAGAAAAAAGAAGGGGATCAGGAATAGGGAAGAGAGAGAGAGAGAGAGAGAGAGAGAGAGAGAGAGAGAGAAAAGAAACTGTGATGGGAAAGAGAAAAAAAGGAGGATGAGAAAAAAGTATCTTGTCTGCCTATTCTGCCATCTTGCCAGAACTAGTTAAGTCTATTCTTGAATCACTAACTAATCGTTAAAACTAATTACCTAATTCTAGTTACCTAATTTAATTTAATTACCTAAAACTAGTTACGTAATTCTTAAACTCATTAATTCTTTCATATTTTAAATTATTCATTCATTTAACCTTATGTTAATTTATTGAATACTTATTGAGTGCCTGTCTTTAAATAATATCACCTCTGCTATGACTTCTTGTTGTACCACACATATCCATATCTTACCTATTTTTTTATTCCAAATACGTTTTCAAATTCTATTTTCCTTTTGATTTCTACTGATACCACTCCATTAGATATTTAACACTTTGTGCCTCTTTTATATCTCTTTCTGTGAGATAAGAAAAATGAAATTATATGCTGTATATTCCTTATCTCTCGGGTTTTATGCACCTAGATGTCCCAATTTCAGTTTTTAAAAAAGGAAAATAGAAGTATTCCTTTGATTGTATTCCTTACTCATTCAAATCACAGTTTTCCCCAGGGGCTAACTCATATGTGCTGATCAATAAAGATTTCTTGTAGTATGATTCTCTTCACATACCCTTCTGGCTCCAGTTCTTTGGGGACATTTGCTGCTGGGACAGCTGAAGCCCATGGAATCTCATGGGAGTTCTTTATTCCTGCCACTACTTCTAATGGCTCTTTGGTTCCCTGGATCCTTCTGAAGTTCAGCTGGGCAGCTGCTTGCAGAATCTTCTATAATATATGTCAGAGCTGTGCTATGTTAGTACCAAGTTGCTCTGAAGCTGCTTCCATGAACAGTGGAGAAGACACTTCTGCCTTTGAATCATATTTTGTTACCTTGGTACTAAGACAGTGTTTCCATAACCTTCCCTGTCTCAACAGGCATCCTGCATGTAAACAGTTCTTTCACCCCATGGGAAGAAAGAAAAAAACAAATCTCTCTTTACATCAGATTTCTTGCCTAACTGACTTCCCATAGGTGTGACAACCTAATGAGTAGCAACTTTACCCCTGATTAGCCACATGGGGCATGAAGTTGATTTCCTCTAAGCAGTAGGGAAAGATCCATCAGAAGAAACCCTTTCTCCTATTTTGCTATTCCCTGAGAATCATAGAGTTGTTGTGGTTATAACCTTTTTACTTGTGGGCAAAGAGAATGAAGATAATTGGGAAACAAGAGAAGTTCCTTTCTGTTTCTGGAAGAGGTAAGTATGGAATCAGGTTTAGCTCTGTACTCTGAGGTATAGGTGAATGCCTTTGCTATATATTGGGGAAGATTATCATAGAACCATTATTCTTTTTCTTGCACTTAAATGAAGAAAGACTTACAGAAACATTGTTGAGGGTCTGAGGGTATATGAAGGAAGGTGGCAAAAACAAACAAACCAAAAACATAGTTCAAGGCTGAAGCCTTGGTGGGTCTGTGTCCTAGGAACAGAGATGGTCATGAAATTTTTTTTAAAAAAGACCTGGAAAATCATCTATTAAATTTTGTCTATTCTGTTTGCCCTATCACTCTTCATTTCTTTCCTATATTAAATTCTAATCTAGGCTCCAGTGTTTTACATTTAGTAAAGTGAAAACTGGCCCTTATGCAAAAAGGAATTCCAGGACAACCAGTAGAGCTTACTAGCTGAAATTCTAGGCTATCCATTCTTCGAGAAAATATGGGAGGAATCGTGTTATATTTAATTTTGGGCCTAAGTATCTGATGCAAACTGCCTTCCAATATGTTCCTTGTTTTCTTCCTAAAGACTCAAGTTCCTGAAAACCTGCTAATTTTTCTTTTTCAAGTTTCAATTTTCTAATTCCAAAAAGTACTGGCCATAAGCATTATGTGAGTTTTTCTGCTTGTCTCCCAACTGTCTCTGAAAGAGGAACCCAAAACATGTCATGAGTGTTATTGCCAGTCAGATCAGGAAAACAGATTATGAATAATAAAACCAAAAGCTATTAGGGATGTCAAGGTGATTTAAAATATCTCATATATGTTCATATTATTTGCCATGCTTAGAAGTTCAGATTTTATTTTAAAGTCTCTCGGCACGACTATGTTTCCAGAGAGAATTGACAGCTTTTCATTTAAGAAAGATGCTTCTGGTAGCTGAGTAGAGCATGGATGGGGTAAGACAAGTCTGAAAATGAGCTCACTTAAGAATTATTCAGTAAAAAATTATCAGAGCATGAATTGTTTTCCCTGTGAATCTCTATTTTCTAGACAGAAATTTTCCTATGGAAAAACAAAGAGAAATTTTGCCCTTCATCTTTTTCCTGTTACAACATAAATTAAATATTTTGTCTATTTTTTTCAAAAGAACTAAATCTCATTTCACATGTCTAAGGTGTTATGTTTTAATGCAAATTACATTCAGTACAATATGTCATCAATATGTTATCACACTTTTGCAAAGCTAGGGTAATAATGAAGCAGATCAAGGAAAGCTAGTGCCTACATTTTGGTTTTTATAATGCTTACACCCAGGGAGGGGTCGCTATGAGTCAGGGCTGACTCGATGGCACATAGCAACAACAACATCCTATTCACTAAGGCATCCTTTTCGTCACTTCTCATTCTGTGTCCCCAATATTTCCTCTCAAAAATAAATGTATACTTGCCTAAGTTATTTTAAATTTGCTGTTATATATTTCGATCAATACCTTTGTATACATTTTATTTAAAATAAATTTCTTTGACTATATTTGGTAAAAAGTGCTAAACAGATTGTCAATGAAAATTGCCAAGTAGTGATTCAAAAAAAGATTGTTTAATCAATCGATATGTCCAAAGAACAAAATTTGTTTGTTTAGCTAACAAAATAGTTGACAATATAAGATAACATAATTACTAAAACTATTTGCAGATTTGATAGTATCACTTTATAATTTGCAAAGCAATTTATGTGATATATTTTGTTTAATTTAGTACATTTTATTTAATCAACTTCATTTCAGGGCCATTGAGCTGCTTGGAAAGGAAATTTCTATTTCTTCTTTGAACCTAGTTTGACTTATGACAGTTCGTATTTGATTCCACCAGCCAATGAGTACAACAGCTAAAAATATGGATCAGGAGAATCAGACCATGATCACTGAGTTTTATTTCTCTGATTTCCCTCAGTTTGAGAATGGTGGCCTTTTATTCTTCATCCCTTTGCTTTTTATTTATGTGTTCATCATTGTTGGGAACTTTATGATCTTCTTTGCTGTTTGTCTGGATACACGTCTCCACAATTCCATGTATAATTTCATCAGCATCTTCTCCTTCTTGGAGATTTGGTACACCACAGTGACCATTCCCAAGATGCTCTCCAACCTAGTCAGTGAGCAGAAGACTATCTCCTTCATTGGCTGTCTTCTGCAGATGTATTTCTTCCACTCACTTGGGGTCACAGAAGCCCTAATCCTGACAGTGATGGCCATTGACAGGTATGTTGCCATCTGCAACCCCCTCCGCTATGCAGTCATTATGACCCCTCGACTGTGTATCCAGCTGTCCACTGGCTCTAGCATCTTTGGCTTCCTCATGTTACTGCCAGAGATTGTGTGGATTTCCACCCTTCCCTTCTGTGGCCACAACCAAATCCATCAACTCTTCTGTGACTTTGAACCTGTATTGCACTTGGCCTGTGCAGACACATCAATGATTCTGGTTGAAGATGTGATCCATGCTATTTCCATCCTGACCTCTGTCTCTATCATCATGCTTTCCTATTTAAGAATCATCATCGTCATCCTGAAGATCCCCTCTGGTGAGAGCCGACAGAAGGCATTCTCCACTTGCACAGCCCACATTACTATTTTCTTACTGTTTTTTGGTAGTGTAACCCTCATGTACTTACGCTTCTCTGTCACTTTCCCACCACTCCTGGACAAGTCCATTGCATTGATGTTTGCTGTCCTTGCTCCACTTTTCAATCCTATAATCTATAGTCTGAGGAACAAAGACATGAAGGATGCTATCAAGAAAATTCTCTGTTCTCAAAAGATGTTCAGTGTCTCTAGGAGTTAAATGGAATTTACACACATATGTTCAAGGATATCTCATCATCTCCATAACTTTAATACACTAACAAATCAATTATTAAAATAACTGTGCATGTTTTGTTTTCATGTTGTCAATTGCGTGTTCACTGTCCATGTTTTGAATCTAAGAGCTATTGTTTGAGCTGATAAAGGAAGTCTTCCGCAGACTTCCTTATCTTGATATCATAGATTATAATGGAATATTTTCTTTACTTTGTAACTCTGAATAGTACAGTGTTATCATTTTAAAATCAATAAACTATATTGGGCTAAAGAATAACCATACTTTACTTGCTTGTCTATGTATTTTCCCAAACTACTCTTTCATTCTATAATCACAATGCCTTTATATCAGTTTTGTTTTGTTCTTTTTTAAAGGACAATGAGATGTACAGCAAAGATGTAGTTTGACCTGGGTAAGAAGCCTGGCTTCCTAATATTTTGCTCACATTCTTTATCCCTATGTAGATTATCTTCTAATTCATTACAGTGACTGTGGTACATTAATCCATTGACTTTGTAATGTTTATGCCATACTGTTACTATCATCTCTTTTGTGGGTTATGTTTCACATTGCTTTGAAGGTTCCAGAGCTAACACTTTTGGGAGCTTGAAGCTTAAACAGGTGCAACATTTAGTCTTAGGGCCAAAAAAGCAAATGCAACAATTGTATGAATATATGTAGTTATATCTTATATATCATTAAAAAAAATCCTTATTATTAAAATTGAAAAAGTTTCTGTTGTCTTTAAATGTCATACTAGTTTCATGCCTTAATTTCTTCATTCTCATTGCTGTTCTGCTCTGGATTGTTATTTTCTCCCTTTTTCTTTGTTATGGCTTCATTAAAAAGTTTGTGAACAGTGCTTGGTGCCTCACAAAGGAACCACATGGCTTATTTTTTATGTGTGTCATTTTCCTTTCTGATAGCACTCAGGAGTAAGCCACTTTTCTTTGCAGCCTATGGCCTGAAGATTGAATCTTAAAGTTGAAACTCTGGGTGTTTTGAGGTTAGTGACAGTTATTTAGCCAAACTTAGCATTTTTTTTTTTTTTTTCATAGCAACCCTATAAGGCAGAATAGAACTCCCCTTGGGGTTTCCAAGATTGTAATATATACAGATGGAAATTGCTACATATTTCTCCCAAAGGTGGTTAGTGGATTCAAACCATCAACCTTTAGGTTAGCAGCTGAGCACTTAACCACTGTGTCACCAGGACTCAAGCCCATTGCCATTGAGTCTAACTCATAGTGGCACTATAGGACAAGGTGGAGCTGCCCCACAGAGTTTCTAAGCCTGTAAATGTTTGCAGAAGCAGAGCAACACTTGTGCAGCAACTGGCGGCTTTGAACTACTGACTTTCTGATTCGCAGCCTATTGTTTTAACCACATAAGGTTGCCATGAGTGGGAATTGATTTGACAGCAACAGATTGCACATTTTTAAGTCTGGGAAAATTAAAGCTCAAATAACCATTGGTAGAATTAAACTTTTTTTTTTTTTTTTGTGCATATGTGTGTGTTAGATTAGATAAATAGAACTAAATCAGTTGTAATAACCAGCAAGTGGTCATTTTAGAAAGTTTGTGGACTTTTGTAACTGTCCTTGTCCATGAGCAATTTGCCTGTATAACTCCTAAAGATAGTGCATTGTCTAAGTTCCTCTAGCTTCAAGTTTCTGGATATAGCTCTTGAACCTTCAGCTTCTCTCTGGGGTTTAACACGTTGATTAACTGCAGGATTATTTTCAGTGCTTTTCCTATAGTAAGCATGATTCCCTTACATCAGAAATGTGCCAACCATGAACAATTCTGATATTATTACTATGTCAGTGGCCAGTGGATTTACCTTCTAAATAATTTCTGAGATACTAACTAGGCAGATCATAAAGAATAATTAATGATGATAAAAAAGGTAAACTATGTTATCCATTGCTTACAACAACAAAGCATACTTCTTGCATATTGACTGATCCCTTGTCTTTTGGGTGCAGGTTGCTGGATAGTTCCATACTTCCATGACTACTGTCTCTGATACAAAATATTCTTTCTCCTAACTTCTCTTATTTATTCCTCTATCCTGAAATATGTCTGCACTCCCCAGGTACACTTGAATTTTCCCTTCTCTCCATTTCCATGTTGTTGTTGTTGTTGTTATGTGCCATTGAGTCGGACCTGACTCATAGTGACCCCCCTTGGGTTTCTGAGGCAGTATCACTATGGAAGTAGATTGCCCCATCTTCCTTCCGAGGAGTGGCTGGTGGGTTTGAATCACCAGCCTTCTGGTTGGCAGTCAAGTGCCTTAGCCACTATGCTACCAGAGTTCCCTCCATTTCCATAGCACCCTGTTTATTTTGCAATTCTAGACCTTCACCTTAAATTATGATGATTTGTTTACATGGCTCATATTCCTCTTTGGACTGAATTCCTAAGAGCAAAAAGGCAGTCTGCATTGCCTTCCCTGCAGTGTTGGGGACTTAGCAAGTACTAAGTAAGTGTGTTGAATCCATATTTATCTTCTTTCTCTTCTCAGTTGTGTCATTTTCCCTTTCAATGAAGTTAAAATGTATAAGAGAACAATTTGAGACTGATTTCCTTATAATATTTCTTTCTACTATAATAGAAAAGATGAATAAAATGTAATTTATAACTTAAAAAATAAAAATAAATAAGAAGTTCCTATACATTTTATCCTCTGGGATAAATTTCCTTATCTTTCTCCCCCCAAAAACTATATTACTAGTTTTATGGACTTATTTCTAGAGAAATGAGATTTTTGCCTAAATCATGTAGAAAATAAGCCAAGGACATAGGGCACTTGGAAGTGATATCTGGTGGCATAGTACCTAAGGCATTTGACTGCTAACCAGAAAGCTGGTGGTTCAAACCCACCAGCTACTCCTCGGAAGGAAGATGGGGCAATCTACTTCCAAAGAGATACTGCCTGGGAAACCCAAGGAGGGGTCACTATGAGTCAGGATCGACTTGACAGCAGTGAGTTTGGTTTGGTTTATCATAAAAATCAGGAGTTCAGCCAAAAGGTAAGGGAAGAAGAGAAAAATGTTAACAATGGAAATTTCAGTATATATGACAATGGAAAATGAGCTCAAACATAGCAATGATTATGAGAATGGTGCAGGTCCAGGCAATATTTCATTCTGCTACACATGGGATTGCTGTGAATCAAAGGCAATTTGATGATTATTAGCACAATAAAAAAATTAAACAACCCTTGAAAATGCCACTGCTCTTTTAGAGGATATTGTTGTTGTTGTTATGTGCCATCAAGTTGGACCCAACTCACAGCGACCCCTCCTTGGGTTTCCAAGGCAGTATCACTAGGGAAGTAGATCGCCCCATCTTCCTTCCGAGGAGTGGCTAGAAGAGTAAAAAAAAAAAGAAAAAAAAAATCCTAATCCTGTTGAAAGCATTTCTTCTTAAGAAGGCATAGTCATATAACTTGTTGATTCTGAGAAAATCTTTATTTACTAACACTCTTGGGGTTACTAGAACTAAGGGGGACTGAAGAAAAAAGATCAAAGGAAGAAACTTCTACTAATTAACCCATGGGGAAATGGAATTGCTATTTTTTTGTAGTCAGAAAACCCCCAGTAGAGAAAGCTCCCCAAGAAACCTTTAGAAACAGGTATAACATTCTCTGCTCCTGGACTAGGGGACCTTACACTGCATAGACCCAGGAAAGAGAAGAGACCCCTTTGTCTCTAACAGAGGTAAGAAGAAGATACATATGGATCCAAGATTCAGGCTTGTACTGTGTCAAGAAGAAAGTAAATTGTCTTCTAAAAAAAAGAAAAACCTCATTGTCGTACAGTCGATTCGACTCACAGCGACCCCTCCTTGGGTTTGTCTATGGAAGTAGATCACCTAATCTTCCTTTTGAGGAGTGGCTGGTGAGTTTGGACCACCGGCTTTCTGGTTAGCAGTCAAATGCCTTAGGCACTATGCCATCAGAGCTCCTAATTGTCTCCTAGGTAGAGAGAAAAGGGCACTTAACTAGTTCTCCTTCAGCTATTTAATTAATGATATTTTGGGACACGTTTGAGATTGTATAAGTGTCAGTCATACAATCATGCAGTCAGGCTGGGAGGCTTGGGAAGGAGATATGCTTATAGGATGAAAATTTGATGGTAAAGTTGTGGTCTATTTGGGGTGTGAAAAATTGAATAATGAAGACTTCCTTTTTTTCCCCCCTATTAATGATGTTTCCCTATGCATTCACACCTTCAGAATTCTCTAAATTAATTTAGGTCCTAGAGGTCACCATTTTACCCACTAGTCCCTCATGGATCCGAGTCCAATAATTATATATCAAATAAGATCGTAAATAAAGAGTGATCAGATACATGAGAAGAGCTTGTTCAGTGAAAATGTTTTCCCAGGACAATGACTCAAACAGAAATCAGTCTCTCCTCCAGATCAAATTTTTATGCACACTTTTCTCCCAGTAGGATTGAGTCATTCTTTATCTTTCCTTCCTTTCTCTAGCAGAATATCTATCTCTGAGGGGTGGGACACTGATTTTGCTAAAACACCACTACCCTTCTCTATTTGATATTGAGTTTTGCAAGATTGATAGGTCAAATTTACTTCTGGTAATGTTTCTTTCACCTGGAGATGAGATTTGCTTAGGCAGCAAATCCTTTTTCTTAGAAGTTATATTTGGAAGTCTGATAAAAGAATTGCTAGTTAAACTACCAATGAAAAATACCCTCTAGCCTTAGAAGCAATTTTCTGAACCAATCGGGAAATATCTTTAAACTAAGATTCCAGATCAGGCTTACATCCTTCTAATTCCGGACATGGTTGGCCATTATCCAATATAAATATATTCTTATACTTTGTTTTCTCTAGTAGACTCTCCAATTTAGCTGTTCTTACCATTTCCAACTAATATTGTCTCTTGCTATCTTTTCTCATATATCCCTGATAACTATTTTTACCTGGAAAATAACCTCTCCAATGCCCAC